TAAGTTAACTTTAACCCACGACACTACTTGAGAAGACACAGTGAGAAAATGTCGTCATAGTATGGATTTGCCTTTGTGAGAATGAGGCAGCATGGAAAAAACATAACTGCAAGAGTACGAGGGAAGAGAGGGACAGATTTCTTAGCAGAACAAACTCGCAACAGAAATACAGGATCAGAACTACGAAACATTCAAAACTACTAAGATCTGAAATCTGCTGTGAAAAAATCTGTTTACATATAACTTAGGTAAGCGTATATGATTTTTATATATCTCCAGAACAAGATACTACACACAGTGGTAGAAAACGAAAATGACTGTAACTACTCAATTGTAGGTACAGAGGAAGAAACCCAATGACATCTACAGAGTGCACGTTTTAGGAACAGTAGGGAATAAGCAATCTTTCAGGATGAAAGAATACATCATAGCCATTTTACATATTCTGGTAATTCCACAAGGTCTTTATCTATATTTCAAAAGGATTACAGTGCAGGCTCTAGAACTGTACTAATGTCTCAAATTATTTAGAGTGAAAATTACATGTAGTTTAAAAAGCTTGCAAATGCTTACTTTTCCACAATGCAAGCGAAAAAAGAAAATCCAATTACACAAAAGTATATTCTTTCACATGCAGGAAGAATTTGAGATCTTTTCAGATTAACATCAAAGTACAAGAAGAGCTAATAAATTAGTTTCAGGTATTTTGATGTTACATGGTTATGTTTTGCTTCTACCTCAAATAATTCTGATCAGCACTGATCTATCTGATGTTACCAGGAGCTTCCATTTCATAAGCATCACAGTGAGGATTAAGTCAATAAAGCTAGAGATAGTTTTAGACAATTTCTCTGCAGAGCAAGAGTAACTTTACTGGATACAGCAGAAGTGTGCCAACACCGGGTTTGACCTATTGAATTACAGGAAACTTGCTGAACATCCGTTTCTAAGGAGTGTCACTCTGCATCCAAGTAAGACAATAAGTGAGGAAGAAAACATTTAAACACTAGTACATTTCCTTAAACAGGAGTGGGAAAAACTTACCACTCTGTATCCTTCATGAAGCCTGTTGCTTTTATCAGGAGCAATTTATAAACATAGGGGAAACAGATGAGAAATGAAATAGCTTTCAATTAAACCATACCTAGGAAAAAGATAAGCTATTTTGAACGAAAGCAACAAAAACTACTTAAGATGGAAAAGGGGGAATTCTTAAGAAGTTAATATATGCTTCTAGGAACTGAAATCAAGTTGTAGTTTGATCTGCTCCCATTAGATCACATGCCATCCTTTCTTAAGAAGAAAAAAGTCCAATTTATAATACGTCAAAATGGAAAAATGTCTGCAAGCCAACAATTTGAATAGAAGAGAGAAATGAGACTTCTTTCAGAACAGGGATATTTTTTATTGTCAAGGCCAAGCATTTCAATGGAGCATATACAATAATTTTGTAATTATGACCTATTAAGGGTGCAGACTGTAATTACGATTGTCCAAATGCTTCAAATCCCACCACAATTTTGAGATTCAGTAGTGGATAGCTTCTTCTACAATTAGGTTTTTCATCATCACAATTATTTTTAGTTGATATGCTGTCAGGAAAGCTAGTCCACCCTACTACGCGATACAAACTTCTGGTGACATTTGTTAGGTGCTGCTTTACCTGCCCTGCAAAAATAAACAGATTAGTAAGAAGTATGCAGATGTTGCCACAGTTACCTTGATCAAGGATATTCAGCTGTTTATCAAGACAAAAAAAAAAAAAGGCAGCCCCTTTATTGATTTATTCAAGTCCAGTTTGAAAACTATTACATTCCTGAAAACGGTAAGTCTCTTGGTCATTTCCCTTTGTTGATCTGTGGAGCCAGGCAGGCATTTTCTAAGGGAGAGACCAAAGGATAAAAGTTTTGTTATACTCAGTGTCAGAGACAGGCTGTAATTGAAAGTGGATGCCGTATACCCACTGATGTAGGGCAATATTACTTCGTAAATTTCAAATAAATGTTAACTACCTTCTTAAAAAAAAACAGTCACAGGAGTATGGCCACACAGCAGACTGTTTACACATACAAGCAACCATGTTGATTCACACAGGTGAGACCAGATAAGACTGCACAGAAACCTAGGTGATAATCACCAAATCACTTTTGTCTGAAGTATATACCTTCTGTTTTTTAAGGATATCAAGAGACCACTTTCCCTGATAGTTCTGATTGTAACTAATTCTCAGTTTCCTCACAGTTTCTGTCTTGCCTTTGACTGGCTTCAACTTCCAGCTATTAATTATTATTTCATTAATCTCAATTTCTACAAGACATAAAAATGTTTCTTAGACCAGTATTTTTTTCTTTGCCATGTTCAGAGCACTGTTGACAAGTCCCTTTTCAGATCTCCATTGACAGGTTAGAGCAAAAGCAGCTCAACAATTGCATGCACTGAAAATGCCTGCTTAGCAGTGTTTTGGACCCTGACAGATCCAGGACTGAACAAGTAATTTACTGTAATGGTAGCAAAATGTTGCCCTGCTGGACCTCCTACCCTGTGAAGGTAAATCCCTTCTCCTGGGGCTCCATGCTCAGCACAGCCCACTGCCATGCGCTGCACTAATCCTATTTGAACGCCAGAAGGCTTGCAGAAGGGGAGTATTCCTATCTTCTCTCTCAGTCTTTTGTGAAATGCACTCAGACACACTTGTGGCACCTTGCTGGGAAGCCTGGAGCAATCCACACACAGCTGTCTCCACTGGTTTATTTTCTCATTCTAGCCACAGGCTCCATGTCCCCTTTTCCCAGCCCATTTGTTGGAAGCTCTGCAGGAAAGGAGAAGCACGATGGTTCTGCAGAGGCCATGCAGGCACTGTCTGAGGGGCCAGGAGCCAGTTTCTGAGAGACTCAAACTCAGACCACTATCAAAGGAAGCCTGGAGCTAGATCTCAGTTTCCTATGGGAATAAGACCTATTAAGGGTGCAGACTGTGAATCTTCCAAAGAAAACATCAGATTCAGTTTCTTTTTAGCACTTTGTAAACGTAAATTGATCCTTAAACTTGGATTAATCTCTTCTCCTGGTACTGATGCAATGCCCAGGACTCCCACTGAGAAAAAATTAGAAATGTGGGTGTACAGTGAGAGGTCATTTTGATTGCAGGAATTTGGACAAGGACCTCTCTTATGAAGAGAGGTTTAACAAGCATACAGCACAATAGGCATGAAACACTTGCCCAGCTCCTTTATAAAGTAAACAGGTTTCCTCTTCTTTGAAAAGGATAAAAAACTGAACCAGAGAGAGAAGCACCTGAAAAGAACAAGGGATAGCACTGCCTGTCATATGACTGCAGACCAATTAAAATATTTAGACACCTTCCAGGTATACTGAAGGCTTTCAAATGAAGATGTGCCAAGTTTTTAAATCCAGTGTTCCCATGGTGTCTTGTGTTATTAACTTAATCCACTAAAACTCTTGTAGGTAACTGGCAGATAAAATTAGAATGTCAACTTTTTAAATATGAAAGTGGGTTTGTAGCCATCAGGATTGCAGCCTCAAAAATCAGAAGGGATATAATTGCCGGAGAGAGGTATATTAATGCATTTCCAGTACTGAAGAACAGAGGTGGTACTACCATCACTATTCTAAAAATGGAAACAGCTTTCCTGATGTCTTGCCTTTAAATTAATGCAAAAGTTGAAAACTTTCTCGTATAGAAAAAATTCACTAGCAAAAATTCAAAATAACCCAAATCAGAGCACCTTTTCTAACAAAATGCCTTTATAAGCAATTGAATAACATGGCTACAGTGGTGGGATTTTTTCCAAATGAAAGTATATCTCAGAACAGACAAACTGCAGTTGTCGAAAACTGTACAAGGGAACTATCAATGCTTCTAACAATTTTAGTAAGTAAAAAAAGTAAACAAAGATGTGAAAAAGGATATAAAGAGAAGGCGTACTGGCTTATGAAAACGTTTGCACATACAAACTTATCCCCAAAATAAAATATTAAAATAGATATTGAATTTATGCAGATACACTCTGGAAAGCATGCCTAATAAAACATTTTACCTGGCCTTATAAAGGATACTAATAATTTATACTTTGAATGAGAATTAATTTTGCTTTTTTGCTGTACTTGCTCTGTGAATGCCATGTTCACAAACAGCTGCTGCCTAGACAAAAAGTCCTGTTACTTGCTGATGAAGAACACAGTGTTTTGCCTTTAAACCCATGGATTCCTATTAAGATGACCCAGGAAAAGTATGCAGAGCACACTGGCCTATAGCAACACTAACATGAGTCTCATCCTGTATGGCCATGTATAAATTTGTTACATCACCTCTAAAGAGGGGAATGAAAAAAAACCCAACCAAACAACAAACAACAAAACCCCAGCACAACCCACCCACCTGCCCCCAGTATACTGTGCTTGCTTAAATAGGAAGTTATTTTGCATCTCTTTTGGGTGACATTCCAGATAATTTTTAACATACAGCACAGCATTCGAAAATACAATACAAAAAGTCTTATTAAAATAATTTTCAAGTTGCTAAAATCATTCAATATGATTAAGCACTCCACCAAACCCCAGCCAGAACGAACAGTTCAACTCTTTCTGATAACAGTAAGGTATCACCTGTAAATGAAATCTAAAATTGTTAGCAGCATTTCTGTGCAAAGTCTAGACACGGTATTTAGAACTGCTTTCTCTGGTGGGCTTTGCAAGTTTGCAAATACAGTATAAAGTATGCACATTTAAGAGGCCAGGCTGTGTGCAGTCTAATAAAAGCAAAATGTTAGCACAGGTTTTCTAAACTTACCTGGTAACTTCATTATGTTGATTTAAAATTGGATCTGCATATAAAACCTACCAGTAATGTACAACATCTAAGTAAGTGACAAAGTGATTAAGCAATCCCCATAGGTGTACTGTTCTGAGGTAAATAAATAGTTTAAAATACACATATTGATTTAAAAAATTTCAAATACTGTCCACAAAGTTAAGGCATAGCTAAGTTTCTACATTCCAATTCATAACTTTATCATAGTCCTGAATTCGTTGTTTTATGTGAGAAAGCTTATTCTTTAGGTATTCACAACGCTCCTTTTTCTCCAGAAATGCAGGATCCTGCCAAAAATACAAAAACCTTTACATTAATATGTTACACTTTTAGACTCTTCCAAGAATAGTCTATTATCAATTATGTTCTTGATTCAGAACAGTATATAAATACTGTCCAAAATCACACTCTTTTTTTCCCTGGCTACAATTTCTTATTTCCTGCTTCCCCTTCCTTCATGAAAGGCCGGAAAAAGAGGTTCTGCTTTTATATGCTGTACTTACTTAGTAAACAGAGCAGTTTTTAAACAGAAATCTGCAAATACAAATGACATCCAACTACATAATTTGGATTTTATAGATGTGTTTTGGTATGACTAATAAAACACTCTGCCCAAAAAATGCAATGAAATTCAACGAACATGGACACAAAATTTGAATTTCATTGAAAAAAAAAAAGGTATTTGTAATGTATTGTGTTTTTAATGGAACATAGGTACACATTTACTGCCCACATTTAAAAATGACAAAGTGAAACCTTTTGGATTACACTGAAAATTACTTTTTGTGAGTCTAAGTTCCATGCCACAAAGAAAATTCAAAAAACTTATTTTCAAGAGTAAGACTAGTGTTTTTTGTTATTTACTGATATTCACTGACTGATGCAGCCAACAGATAAATGAACTAGATCCCAAAGAATAACCAGTCTTCTGAATGCCGAATGCTGAGATGAGACATAAATCTCAGAAAATGAAAATGCTTCACTGTTGGGTTTTTCTTTCCCCACATCTGGCTAATGGAATATTTATTGTCAAAACAGGTTGTCAGCATGAATGGAGTGGGTTGTGTCCTAACTTTGCCAAAGTTTTGAAAGAAAAAATATACAAAGCCCTGTAGTAGCTACAGATATCCTGAGCTAGTGAACTGTACCTAGTGTCAGACCCGCTGGCTATTTACACTCTTTAGTACTCATTAGATTCACTAGCAATGTAAAGCTGAAAACACTCACATGTTTCTTCTTCTTGTATTCTTGCAGAACTTTTGATATCCTTTCCTGTTCCTAATGAGAGAGACCACACATTCTTAAACACTTAGAGCGTACTCTATATCTTCATGTGAATTCCACAAAACACTTGTCAGAAGTAAAATTCTCATCTGATCAATCCATTCTAGTTGCAACATTTTAGTTGTAAATTTTGTACTTGAGAAATAATGAAAGTACGTTAACTGTAACTCGCTCAAATTTGAAAGCTACTAGCATCGAAAAAAAAAAAACCAAAACCGACAGAAAACGTGTACAACTTAATTGCAACTTGATATCCTAGACTGACGACTAAACAAGAAATAACACATTTGGAGAAACTTTCTCTTCCATCAAGTTACTGTGAGCATTACAAGACATTATGCCCTTGCTAAGGACAGCCAGAAACTGTCTGATACCACACCTGTTTTCCATAAGCCCATTTCACAGGTACTTACATATACGCTTTCAGGATGGTGAGGAAGCTGTCTCATCAATGCATCCAGCTCATCAAACTTTTTTAATACAGCATGAACTTCCACAGACAGTTCTTTATACTCAGCAAACTGATCATTGAATACTGCTTTGTACCGGTCTCGCATTTCATTTGTTTGAATTGCTGGATATTTCCTTAAAAAAAAAAAGAAGTTTTAAAGGACTAGTTTTAGAGATAAGACTTCAACAAACACACGGACCCTTCACCTTGATAGTGCATTTCTGTATTGTTTGGTAATCTCATAACCTGCTGAAATTTGCATGTATGTAAAGCACTAAAATCACAGAATCAGAATGGTTGAGGTTGGAAGGTCCAGAGATCACCTGGACCAATCCCCTGCTCAAGCAGGGCCACCTAAACCAGGTTGCCCAGGACTGTGTCCAGACAGCTTCTGAATATCTCCAAGGATGGAGACTCCATAATCTCTCTGGTCAACCTGTGCTGAGCGCACAGTGAAAAAGGTTTTCCTAATACTCAGGTGGAGCCTCCCGTGTTTCAGTTTGTGCCGTAGTCTATGACAAATAGTATAACAATTAATTTATGGTCTCATACCTCACCATGAAAGGCTTACCCTTTAAAAAGGAACATGTTATAGATTTAGCACTTAGAAAGTACAAGAGTAATCAAATTTCAGGGGCTAAAAAGACAAGTAATTTCCACTGTATTTTTTTTTCTAAATTGTATGTGTGGTGGTCTCCTGTTCCTTTGACAGTTATTGTACTTGCTAGATTATAACATTCTGCTTCAACATTTGAGGTTTGGGCGCCTTTTTTAAAATTCAAGTAATTATACTACTCGTTCTATGCCGTTGACACCAGCCCCCCATCCTCTCTATTTCTAACACTAACTTAATAAAGAATTATGAGTTCCCATAGTACATGCATGGCAGAGAAACCATGAGTGTACGCATGAGAAATGATGAGTGAAAAACATCATTCAAGTGTTCTCCATTAGGTCTGTTCATCAAAGTCAAGTCACTTACGCTAAGTAGTCTGGCATCACTATAGGTTTGGGAATGTGGCCTGCTGGTATATGACCATTAAGTAGTTCTGGTTTTCCTTCCACTGATTTAAACTGCTTGTAAGTGACCTCTTCTCTTGGTCTGTCATCACTTTCATACTGTTTTAAAAGAAGAAAAAATTAGTGAAGTTAGTTTTACTTCAAATGCAATATACATAAACCACAATACCCAACTCATTTGAAGACAGACATACAGGTATTGAGCAGCAGTAGAAGCAAATCACAGATATTTCTTACAACCCTTATTGCAATTTGAAAAGTAGTAAGGAGTTATAGTAACATTTCTCACACTGTATCCACCTTCAGTTTGTCCTAACAGCAGTACCAGTGACAGATAAATGCTTCTTGGGGCTTGGAAAGATTTGTCTTGTATGTCTTAAAAAAAAAATAATTTAAGGAAGTTTCCTTGGATATCCATCTAATTTGTGAATGAACAGTTCTCTGCAGTTCCCTTTTCCTCTTGCTTCCTATTGCACAATTTATCCCTTGATCCAGAAATAAAAGTACATGGAATCTTGTTGGAACACATAAAAAAGAATCCTGACCCAGTACTGAAGCAACAGAGAAAACAGTGGTAAGAAAGTCACAGTACCTAACAGGAGACATTTAAGAGTGAAATAAATACACCATAAATTCTCTAGGAATCATCAACATCTGCTGTTAAGATCCTACGCTATCTTTGTAGTGTATGCAACCAAATCTCTGTGCAGCAGAAGCACTAAAATTGCTGATACTTCAAAACCAGCCAGGAGGGCTTTGGAGTCTCAGAGATACAGGAACAAGCTCCACTCACAGACCACCTACCACTGTGCTTCCATGGGCTCACCTCCAAATTAAGCAGAGAGCCAGGAGGAAAGAAGAGTCTCTAAAACCTACAACGCATCAGATGACCTGCTGTTCTAGCCATGTCTGCCAAAGTCTGTGATAAATGCTACAGAACTTGTCACTTCATGAAAGAGGGTGAGAGCGCATACAGAGGCAGTCATCAGACTTGCTATTTACAGTAAATTTTATAACCTAGCCCAACTAGCAGTAACTTCTTTACAAGCTTCTTCTGAATCTTTTAGGTAGGGGAATGTTGTCTGGACTACATTAAAGAATTAAACCTAATCTGTTCCAAGCCACAAATAAATACATAGGTCAATCAAAATAGCCACACGAAGAAGAACAACCATTTGGAAATATCAGTAAATAGAAAAATAAATTCCTATTTCCTACCTTCTTTTCTGGAAAAGAGGACTGTGTTTTCATCTATCAAAACATGGAAAGAACTGTAAGTTTTATTTTCAGCAAAAACAGTTTGCAAAAGCACAGACTCTTAAAATCGAAACTCTTTCAAAATCATGCTGGACAGAGAATTACATTTATATTTCAGTAGGAAGAAATTCAGCATAAGGAATATTTTCAGGTCAACTGATTTAAAGAATGTTTAAGAACAGCGGAATAAAAACAACCACCCAGAACCTAGAGCAACGACAGGATCTGCCACTGCGTAGCTGTAAAGAACAGCTTGCAGGAAATACTCCATTCACTTCCCGGTCTCCCTTATTATTTCACATTCCAGCCCGCATTAACTCACTTGACACTCCACAGCCTAACTCTTTGCCTAGAAAATACAACAGTGCACTAACAGGTAGCTCAACCAGCAGCTATTTTGCACAGCACTCTCCAGAGCCTAAGCTATATTATAAAAGTATTCCCTTTAGACATATTAAGCAACTGGAATAAAACAACATGGATAGTAACAAGGAAGGGTGACTGAACACCTTCTGTGTAACTCCAGCAGTCACCTCATTCTTACAGGACATATTAAAAGCTGGTTAAAAAACTTTTATCAAAGAGCTGCTGTGTACTTTTCAAAAGGGGAGTCTTAGTTTTATGCAAGACGGTGTAATGGTAACCAGCGTTAAGTGAAAATGCTGCAAATCCGACTGCAGCAACAATGCAGAAGATGTGCAACTTTAAAGTTGCTCTCTCCTAGTAACACTTAAATGCTGATGCCTCCTTAATTTTCGCACATCTTAATTTTTGTGCTACATGAAGTTGTATTAACTTTTTAGAGGTCTTTTTGGTAGTGTTTTCACACAAAGGAGGTTTTACGCAAATGACTTTGCATTCTCTAGCTGAGAGTGGTAAGTCTCTCCTATTACAGTTTATCATTAATCAGGTGAGTATGGAATGCTTCTGATAAGGGCAAAGTCAGCAGCAATAAAATGTAAATACTTGATGTGAAAAAGCCTAAGTTGATTGAAATCTCAGGCACCAAAATCTAGTCAACTCTGGACCTTCCAACCTAACTACTGTAGGCTGAAAAGATATAAAGAAGCAGCTTGGAGACTTGCTTGCAAAGTAAAAATAAGTCTTTCGTGTTCTTACGGTCATTCACACCAGCATTCACTGTGCTGAAAGCGCACTCTTCAAATAAATGCGAAGGGGCTTTAGGCCTAACCCTGTGACAGCCGAACAAGCACATTGTTCAGTTCTTCCTTTGTTTGGAAAAGACACACCAGGAAGTATTTAATCTGCTGATGCACAAAGAGAGCCTAGTACTACAAAGAGAACAGACCCACCTCTTACCAAAGTAAATTTAAAAAAAAAAAAAAAAATAAAAAGGCAGTCCAAGAATTTGGATCAGACATCTTAAAAACGCCTTTTATTTGGCAACCTCAAATACTGTTAAGACTGGTGAAAGTTCACTCTCAGAGGCTATGGACCTGCTGCAGAGAAGACACCTGATACGCCTCTTGTCTATAGCATCCAAAGATCTCGCAGCTGCTCCCCATCACACCATACCCAGTAAACAGCCAACGACAACTAATGGCTTACCTCTCGCTCCATTAATTCCCTGTGCCTCCTGGCTCCTTCATGCCTCCACAGCTTTAGACAAACCACCGCACTGATTAGATAGATGATCACCGTGACAAACAAAAAGATGATTGCTGCTGTCTGACCTCCCTCTACACGACAAAAAGATGCATTTATCGGCGTCTTAAACAACTGGTAATAGCAGAGCCCACCTCGGTTGGTATCGTTCACGTACACGATGGCAGCCGCCATGTACAGAAAGAACAAGGCCACGTTAACTCCGAACTCGGTCAGCGGCCACCAGCTGGAATCGAGGAGGATGGTCCGGTAGTACATCGACATGCCCAGCACCAGCAGCACTATCGTGACTATCCACGCCATCCCCGCCACCACCAGGATGAACGGCGTCTTGGGCCCGCTGTAGGAGTAGCCCCCGTAGGCACTGCCCGCCCCGTAGCCGTAGGGCTGCGAGTACCCGAACATGTGGTACCACTCGTTGTCCTTGTGCACGTAGGCCGTCACGCAGGCGAAGACGGCGGCGCCCAGCATCAGCTCTGCCACGCAGAGGATCCGGAGCAGCCCTGCCCAGGACTTCATGTAGGCGTACCGCTGCTGGTAGGCCTCCACCCGCTCGCTGTACGTCTGCCC